TTGTGTTTTATAATATAAGAGATATTTTATAGATTCAAAAATTAAATTTTAAATATAAATTACTTGTGCTAATAGTAGAAGTAGCTAATTTTGAAATTGGGTTCATATCAATGGATAGTGATTCAGTAGAAACTGTACTTTCAATTGTATCTTAAAATTGTAAGCACACATATATAGGTTTAATATTTATATAATACTTTATAGATTCAAAAAAGAAACTTTAAAATTTATATTTCTTCATTCTTGTATAGTGATATTATGGATAGTGACTATTAATATATTAGTCTTATATTTTTAACTACCTAGTTATATTAGAAAATAAAATAAAATATTCTTACCTTTCACACTTGAGGAAAAACTAAGTTTTTTTTGACTTTTGTCATAGGCACATTTAAGCAATTTCTGCTTTTCTTTTTCCTTTCTTTTTTCTGAACCAGCTTTGGATTTTCTTTTATACATCACGAATTACAGTTAAAATAATAATAGTTAATAGATACAACTTTACAAGACGTCACGAAGAAGTAATAATCTCAACAGACAATGTAGCATTAAAAACTTTTAATTTAGTTTAAATACCATGAGCCCATGAGCACAAATAAACATATTCAAAACAAAATAAATGAACAATGAACGTTGTTGAACAATAAATTATTTTCGTAATTTGTATCATTGATTATTTGATTATAATATTAATAATTATTTATCATAGATTAGAATTCTGAATTTAGAACGGCTTGTTTATAAAAACATATTATTGGCTTTACAAACTATCTATAACCCTGCGGGCTGCGGCCTTCTTGTGCCCGAGTACAATTCTTATCCAAAATAGAATAATTCAGTTACAATCAGTGATTACCAAGTCATACGCCCGTATAAATATAATATAATATTATTTAATAATCTCAACAATTTTACACTATTTATAACCAATAATACTTGTTTGTATGTATATAGTCATATAGACGGCTATTAAATTCGTAGAATGATAATTTTTATTATTTTTATAATTAATTAACATCTCAAAATTGTAAGCAAAAATACATTTCCAGATTTGAAAAAAAGAAAAATGTTTATTTTGTATTTCTATTTACTCTACGAATTAACGAGTAATAAAAATATTAGTAGGTACAAAACCAGGGGGCCCCAATTACCATAATATTAAGCCCGGGCCCCGTCCGC